ATTCCTAAATCACTAAGCCTATTGATTGCACAGTGTTGGCCTCTTTTGAGGTCCATGGATTGCTACCAAGTTCCTTGCTAAGCCTCCCATATAACTTTGTTTTACTGTCATCTTGTGAAAGCTCAAAGTCATAGGATCTTTGCTATCACTGTTGTAACTGAAGAGCTGGCCCACTCTTCTCTCTGCATCTCCTGTGGGTGAAGGATAACCACAGATTTCTTCTTCTTTTGTCTCTAGAATGTTAAGTAGCTCAATCAAAGGCACAAGAATAAGCAAGTGAAAGATCGCTTGTCACAGAGACAATTATTTCAGCATCAGCAGAGGCTCTATAGGCTTTGTCTTATGAAGTTCATTCTTAAAAAGTTTGTTAAGTACTTTTTATATTCCTGCCATTTTCCTACTAAAACCAAGGTGGTTTCTTTATACTTCATAAGTTTTGAGGTGAAATCCATAGTGATTGAAGTCTCAGGGTAGCCTCTAGTAGATACTTTTTCATCTGGTTTCAGTTGGAGAGATTATCAGTGTAGAGGTCACATGAAGATGGATTCCAGGGGCTGGGCATAGGACATGGTTTAATGCACAGACAACAACTTTATTTTGGAATATACAAAGATTACCCTTTTTGGGTACCCCTTTGGATTCTGACCACTGAATTCAGAAAATAAAGTAAATATGACCTTGACAATGAAAGAAATCTGCATTTAATAGTAGGAATAATAAAGTAAATAGAGCAATAACAATAGTATTTGATAGTATCCAAAAATGGATACTTTGAAAAAAAAGTCTGTACTATTTTAAATAAGTTTTTATTAAAAATGGATACTTTGAAAAAAAGTCTGTACTATTTTAAATAAGGAAAACTTTCATTGGACTGAAAAAGTGTTAAACAATTAATGATGTGCTGGGGCCAAGTGCCTGCCAGACAGATTCTGTCTCTCCTAAGTTTTTGATGCACCAAAGTTGACCTTAGACAGACTTGCTTAATTTCAAAACTGCTCAAAAAACTTGCTAGGTTCTTGCCCTTTGGATTTGAAAGTTTCATGGACAGTTGTAGTTTTTTCTTTGAATGTGTGCCCAGAACTGGCATCGTCTGAGTCACTAATCAGGCAGCTCCAATTTAAACCATTCAGGTCGCATAGCTTCCCAGGAAATGGGAGAACAGCTTTCATCTTATCCCTGTTCAGTTCTCTTCTAGATCTCTAGGCAAAAAAATAGATCCAGAAAAGATACAGGGCTTTGGATCTTGGGTGGATGGAAGAATCCGCCTTGTACCCTTGGTTTTATCAACTAAGTTCAAAACGTCCTCTTGGGTCGTTTTGCTATTAACATCTAGACCAGCCATCTAGACCAGATGGCTTTGTTAATAGCATGTAGGTTTGTTTTTATTTCCAGAATACCTCCATTTTTAAATGTAATAAATGTACTTATTGTAAACACTTTACTGTTCAGATTTTGTTCTGTCTGGAATGTGTTGGCATGATAATGACTACACTGAAGGAGTCTAAAACTATTACTGGATCTGTTCCTAAGTTCCTTTGTCATCATGTCAAATACATTTTAATATTTTCTGGTTTGCAACTCCATAAACCAGAGATTTTTATTGAATAAAAATATTAAATGGTACAGATGTTCACAGAAAGTTACATTCTGTGAAAGTACCATATGGTTATTTTCAGAATGGTTATGAGAGATTGTGTGAGATTTTGTATACTGTGCTGTTTTGCATTCCTCCCTAGTAAAAATATTTACTACGAAATAACAGCATGGATTCCATAGCACCGAAGGATGACTTTGAAATGAACTTACGTTAGTGGGTAGCATTACTGAAACTGTTACTTTCCAGTGTCACATGTTGACCAAAATGGAATTCATTAAAACAGCAGTTATTACTTTGAGTGAATTAGTTATAAACTTTGCAAAGTTCATCTTCTGGCAACAAAGCATAGAGAATATTAATCTGTTTCTCAGAATACAGTCTAACATGACTAGTTGGGTTGATGCAAAATTATTGGAAGCATTTATGGTTTCTTTTAAATGATTGTAAAGGAGGCACTACAGATGTTACAGTTATCGGGAAACATTGCACGTCTGCTTCCAATTTCATATAAAACATTTTGATCGGGATTATACTTGAAAATTTAATTAGGTAGTCGTATACTTTGATTTATTGCAACAATAATGTGCAAGTGGTCAGCTGCAGTATCAGAAGTTAGAGCTGGAGAAAGCTTTTTGTATCAAAGTAATTCATTTATATTTATATATTTATGTACAAATTTAATGAATTTAATTATTTTGATTTACTACTACTCACTATGAAGACGCTTCTAGGCAATGCTGTTTTTTGTTTGTTCTCATTTTGTTAATTGAATTTCGTTGCCCTTTGCTATATTCATTTGGGTAGAATACCTTACACTATTGCTTGCTGCCCATCTACTTTGGTGTCTGTATGTTATATTTTATTATATTCTATTATATTCTATTGTATAGAATTGCTGATTTAAAGGTTGTCTTTTCACACATTTTAAGGATTTTGCCACTTGCTCATGTTACTGCTCTTATTTAAACTTTTATCTCTGAATGTTGCTAGTAAGTATATGCAGAATATAAGAACCATCTTTGTATTTTTATGTATACCGACATGGATTATCAAATTAATAATAGCCAATATTCAGTCTTGCACCTGTGCAGTAAATCCTATTTGCATTTAGTTGAATTTGTTGCATAAGTGAGCTTCCTATTCACCTTCACCACTAAGTTTCTTTTGACATTATGCCTTTTAGGATTCTACTTCCCCAGAGATAGCTTTCTTTCTGACTATCTTCCCCAAATTGATCAGCCTGTCTTTAAAGGTTAAAACCTTTCTGCTTTTTTTTTTCAAAGTATCTGTAGACATTTGTTGATTTTTTTTGTTGCTGTTTTCAATACTTACAAATTAATATCATCAGCAAAAGTAACTGGTCTGCCATTTTCCAGATTTTTCACATTTTAATGAAAATGTTAAACGTCACCAGAACAAGTGGCTCCCTTTGAAATTTGAAAAGATGTGTTTTGCCTTGTAAAACTGCTGTTTATGATTAGTCACCAGTTGTGACTGTAAAGAAACAAGATCTCAAGCTCTTTTTTTAAAAAAAAGAGCTGTTTTTGCCGGTGCAGGTAGTTACTTCAGTAACCCAGATTTTTAAAAAATGTTTTTTTAATCCATATGTAAATGTCCAAGTGATTGTCTTTTAAACCATTATATCTAGGAATACTTTGCTTAGACTATTTCGTGCTTCCAATCTCCCTAATTAAAGCCTAGCTACAGAATGTAAGCAGGTGCCTGCATAGCCTTAGCTTGGATACTTATAAAGTAACTCCATTGATTAGGTGCAGACCTGTGAGTGAAATAATATAATTATATCTGAAATGGAAATTATTGAACTCCAACTCTATACTTAGCCATTCAGAAATATGCTATCCCGATTTTTTAATTGAAGTTTGGATTCATTTTTAATATTGGATATTTGTGTTTGTAGTGTCATGTCATATTATAAATAATTGCTACAATACAGCTTTTAATTACAAAACGCAATAAACAGTTTTTGTCTGTTATTTATAATAAAGAAAAAAGATATTTTAAATTACTATTACTTATGCATCATATTAACTATAAATAAGTGGTAAATGTGCATATTTTGATGATTGTAAATACCAGTTACATACAGAGCAATACATTTCTATAAATTTCAAGTATAACTATAGGCTATTTAACTATTCTTAACTTAATAGCTCTTTAAGCTGTGTTTATATTAAACAGAACAGGAGCAGTTATTTTTGCATACTTATTTTATATTACAAGCACCATAAAGAATACATGGCATCCTCGATTGATCAAAATCTATTACCTATCACATTTATAACTACTACAGATAAAATAGGAAAGAAAAGTGCAATTTCAGCTTTATTCAATGTTTGCATTTCATTTTAGATTATCGACATAATGGGAGAGACCTTCAGAGTTCAACGCTATCAGTGCCAGAACAAGTTATGTCATCTAATCACTGCTCTCGATCAGGATCCCCTCACCGTGGAGATAGTATAGGGCGGACTAGGTCGTGGTCTCCCAGTGTCCCTCCCCCACAAAGGTGAGTTGTTATTTAACTGTGCAGAGATATAAATTAAAGTGTGGTCGATCTTGTGAAAATACAGGAGAGAGTCCCTTGACTTCCAAAATAACAATGAATTAGCTATATCCTATGAAATTACATAAGGTTGAGAATGTTTATTTCTATACTGAACTGATGTTTTATTGAGATTCACCTTACCTGGTCTTATTTTTCATCAAAATCAGAATACGTATTGTTGAATTTATAGAGAAAAATAATTTGCACAATGTCATAGACAAATGCATTACTTATCTAGTATTTCGCTTGCATAATCTGAACCATTTCTTTGAGGATTTATAGAGGCAGGACAATGATTGCTAGAAATTGAGAGTTCATAAAAAAAGAGGAGCATAATATTTCCTAAAGACCATCTAGCCATACCCAGCAGAGCTGTGGTGAGCATTGTGAACCACGTTTGCTCGTGTTCAGTTGAGTTTGTTGTATACGTGCTGCTGTAGACATGTCTAACTGCAGCAAACATGCTGAACACCCAGAGATCTCCCCGTTACTTACTCATGCACCTGCAGGCAAGGGCTCTGCTAGGACACAGAAACACTTTTCTGTTTTTTAGAAAATTTGCTGTTATGCCTTAGCAGCAGTTTGGCAGAGATGGCTCAAGAGCTTTCAGTTGTAAACCTAGTTAATAAAAGTGCAGCCCGTAAAATTAACCCAAGTTACAGAGTATCTGACAATACAAATTGGCCTCGATTACCTGTATTAGCAATGTAGTAAATGTTAAGTTGCATGGTTTGACCTCTGACAGAGATGAGAACACATGAAGAGAAGCAAAAGCCTCCTGTAATGTTCACAGCTAATATATATATGCACTGGATTATATTATTCTTAGCAGAGTGGAACAGAACTGAAATAATAATACTTTGAGTGAAACAAATACAGTTATGTAGAACTTCAGAAAGCAGCAAGAAGAATCTGGTACAATGCAGAGACTTAAGAATGATTTATTTAGAACAGTAAGCCAAGAATACAATCCTATTGAAAATAATTTGAGTGGACAGGTTGATAGGAGTTTTTCCAAACTAGGACTAGAAAGAAGAAGGTACTATCATCATGAAAGTTTACTCAGGAGCTTTGGTTGTGTAGGCAGAGAAAAGGGTCAGATCTTGGAGAAGTTTTGTGAAAAAAATGACAACATTTAGTAAATAAGTATTTAAGTCAAAGGAAAGGCAGAGTAAAAAAATGAAGCTAGCACCGTAAATGGAAAAAGGAAAAAAAAAAAAAAGGTAATTTTCTTGTCTGCTCTTATAAGAAAAAAAAAAACAGAATAAGAAGAAGACCTAAGGGAAAATGATGAAAAGTTCAGTGCTGGCCGTGTTTAGTTGTAATTGCTGTCTGGACATCTGTAAGCATCTGTAGGAAAAGTGAAGTTTTATTTTGTGAGCGAGGTAGATAGGGCTAGCAGCACAAAGGAGAAATTTAAAGCTCAATTTGATATTGACATTGTAAAACCCAGAGATGGGATTGCAATATGAAAAAAAAACAGGTGGTGGGAGTGCTGTGGTCTGTACTGATTAATGCTATTAGAAAGGTAGTGAAGCTGGTGGCGTAGTGCAGCATCAGCATGCAGAAATCATCAACAGCGTGGTGCTGGCCATAGACATACAGGTCATCACACTGCTCAGGGACTGCTGAATGGCAAAGGACACTGATGCTGCCAAAATGGCCAAGGAACAGCAACAGCACAGGAGCACAAGGGCAAGGAGGCCCACATTTAGGGAAGACTGCAGGAAAGAAAAGAAGACCAAAGAATTTCTAAGTCTAGCTTTGAAATTTCTGTGGAGGGATGCATGCAAACCCTCTTGTTTTCAAATGCCTACCAAACTATCCCATTTTATTTATCCGATAATTGTAACACTTAACTGTTATCTTCCTGTCTTTGCATTCTTGTGGATTTGTTTTACAGAGCGGCAGAACTGAGGTCAGTGGATGTAAGTAGGTTAAGTTGAGCAAAGCAATCTGTGGACAAAGGCTTGGTGTCAAAGAGAACTAAACTAGAAGAGTGATTGTGCTCTTGAACCACTGCACTAAGTGTACCACTTGCTGTTGCTATCTGAAGAATTTAAATTAAAGCATTTAATTTAAAAATGCTGTATTTTCCAGATTCTATGCTGGTGAGATTAGATAATAATCTCATTTCTGTCATTTTCTCTAACTACTTTTTATACCAACCCATGAAATGCCCAGCTGCACTCAAAACCTACAATCTGATTTCCTTTCCCTGCAGCCGGAATGTGGATCAGGGACTCCGAGGGACTCGATCTACCGCTGCACATTACAACACCCTGAACCGAATGGATAGACACCGTGTAATAGATGACCACTACTCCCCGGACAGAGAGAGGTAAATATCACACTGGAATTAAGAACGGCTGTTTCTTAAGCTCACCAACATGAGTTATTCCAGTGCCGTAGCTCACTGAAGTAAACAACACAAGTACTTATCTAATCCCATACATGATAATTTCCCTACTGTTTATCCATTGGTTATATGATACATTAAAAAACATGCAATGTATAAAAGGCTGACAAGCTGATAATTTAGTTTACCTTTGGCAAGAGGGAAATTGAAAAATCTGTGAGAAATTGTGCTTTATAAAGGGGAGATAGGCCAGCTGTCCTTTTAAAAAAATGCACTATGCTAATAAATTCATCAAGGGGTGAATGCATTTTAAAAATGAAACAATTGGTCATTTTTTGTGGTTAAGATGAATTTTAATGGCATAAAAGGAGAGTTACAGATTCTAGCTGGCTAATGGCTTGATTTTCTTCAAGTGACATCAGAGCAAATAACTGCAGTTGCTAACTGTAATGCAAAGTTGTTGGTGATGAAATTTTTGAATTTTCATGTGATAATTCTTGATGAGTAGGTATTTGTTTGCTAGGTGTGTTCTGGATCTCTGCAAGCAGGTTTGTTGTCTATATTTTTCAAAACACATGCAGAAGTTTTCCTGTGCGTGCACTGTGGAGAGTTTTGAGTAATTAGGCCTCTGGTGTAACACACAGTCTCTAAAGCACATTGGCTTTCAGGGACACTCAAGAAAAAGGAAGATGGATAGTTCTGAAGTTTTCAATAAAAACTTAAAAACCATGGGTTCTATTCCTTGATAGCTTGACAGGATAGGTTTCTGAATGGAAGAATTGTTAGACTTCAGATTATTTTGCTGAATATTTGTCTGATACTCTCTGTGTTACATAATAAAAAAATGTTGGTCCATATACTAAGAAGCCCCTAAAATAACACTTTAATAGTTTTCATTATGAACACTGCCTTAGCTGCAGGTAGTGTGGAGAAGTGGAAAACCTCTGAACTTTTATATAGGTTTATAATCTTTCTACTTGTCATCCTTATTTTGTCCCACATTTGACTTCGGGAAAAAAACAAAACAAAACAAAAATACTTTGCTTCTCCACTGCTCTGAGGGTTCGTTATTTCCCTGGTGTGTTCACCCCTTGGAGCTGCTTGCCAAGAAGGGACTTTGCAAAAGTTTTTTCTTGTAGCCACGCTCAAGCACAATGTTAGAAAGAGACTGAGAACATGAGTGTGAACGCTCTTTCCTCAGTTTCCTAGATGATAGCCTAGAGTTGTCATATATGTTAATGGCTAACATATTAAGGAGTTAGCTGAAACCACATAGAAGAACTTCTAATGATCTCAAGTCTAATGGCAATATAAACATTCCCTCAAAACTGAGTATGTAGTTAGAAATTAAAAGCAAAATATTAAAAAACAGAGAGACCTAACAGCAGACCTTTAAATATGTCTATTTTTCTATTAATTCATACACTGTTTTTTGTTGGTAGGGCAGTAAAAAAGTATCTCTCTCTACTATCAGAAAGGTCAGAGTTGGATTGTATACTGGGAACTCCAAGTGTGAAATTATTTAAGTTACTTTTTTACCTGTGTATTTGTATATAGATATACATATAGGCAAATAGATGTACTGGCTTATTTTTGTCAAAAGTGAGAAGATGTTTTTTGCAAGCACTAATGCTTTTATGAAATAACGTAAACCTCTTATGGAAAAACGTACTTATGACCTCCTATATTCCCAAGTTCCGTAAACTTTAGCTATATATTTTTAATAAGCTCTCTAAAGCAGACTATTACCTCATTTCAGAAACCAAAACAAATTAATCAAGCTCTTGAAAATTGTTGGAAACGTGGATTCAATCTCAGAATTTTGTATTTAAGCTATGGCTATAATCAGATAGATTAGAGAAAAATGGGAGAATCCTAGCACAAGTCTAAAAACATGACATCTGCAAAACTGTGTATTACATTCTGAGTGACATAGGAATAGTTCATGAGAAATAACTAGACAGTTACAGGGACTTGTACTCAATGATATAGAAAAAAAGCGCTCTAACCTAATTAGTTATTGTTTAGCAAGCATTAATCTCACTGTATTTTTTAGCCAAGATGTGCTCTCCTTAAGGCATGAAACTATGGTAAAATGAGCATACATATAGTGGCCACAGCGTTAAGAAAATGCATAATTCAAGTGACCCTGCAGTGACTGTTATGGGGTTGCATAAGAAATAATTTGAAATTCTATATGTATCTCTGCTAGGTACCTACAGGGAAACAAGTGAGAAGCAGCAGGATAGCATTTAAGTTCATCATTGTAATCAATGTAATTAATCATTTTAATGTATATCACAGAGATGCAGATATTGCAGAGTAAAAAAGGGTAGCTGATGTTTTATGTGGAAGTTATGTGGTGGTATTTTCAGTTTTTAGTTGTGTGTATTATGATTAGTAGATTATGTTACTTCTACAGATACCCATCAAGTTAGAAAAAAAGGCATGAAAAAAGCTAAATGATGAAAGAAATGCTGAAAGTTTGCTTACAGCTGTGTTATACTAAGTGATTTCAGTGCCTCTTTTAAGTGCTTATTGACAATTCAAATTTTTGCCATGTGCATTAATTGTATATGGTACTTCCTAATAACGGCTATCCCCACTGTAAAGTGTACACACATCTTGTGCATATACACATATAATTGCAAATTGAATACATACCTAGTATATTTAATAGGGTGAGTCAAATAGGGTTTCTTACAGTAAGGGGGCTTTACTCTTTCTATGCACAGCTCTATTTTCGGTAGCTCATAGTGTTGCTGAGTACAATTTTCCATCCTAGAGCCTAACTTATGAGCTCGATTGGATTTAATTGCTCAAGAGACCTTGAGCTCTCTCCCACCTTCTAGCCTTGTAATAAGAGAGTATTTTTGCTGTAGCAGCTGTGGTTTATAGCAGACATGTTACTTGACAGAGCAATCCCTGCTAGATCGCAGTGGTGGACAAGTACCCCCTGCCATCCTTGGGGTGCCTCTGCTAGGGGATGCAGGAGGGGGGCAATGGGCAGTGGGCTCTTGCAAATGCAGCTCCATCTGAAAGGACTTGGGATAAAAGCCTTCAAGATGATTTTAAATGCATTTCTCAGAATAAAATGTGCCTACAAAATGCCCTTTTTAAAAATAATGCAGTCATGCTGGCTTTAGTGCTGTGTCCTTAGGAGCAAGGACGTGAAATGTATGAGGGAGAGCGCTGTGCTGTTGTGCTATTGATTTCCTCATAGGAAGTCATCTCCAGTTGATCAATGAGTGTCAGTTCACAGATTCTCTGCTGATAATTACTGTTGTTTGGCAGCTAAATTCTCCAAGTGCTCAGCTGCAATGAGCACGAATGGTTCTAGGATTTAATCTGCCTTAGGAACTGAGCAGGAATTTCTGTACTATTTGTGTGACAACAAGGATCCTTATCATTATGGAGTGGGATAGCTATTTATGTATTTACTTAAATAAAACTCATTATCTGCTTTAAAAAACTAACCCATCAAATAAAACTGCTCTGCTTATCTTTTGTACAAAATGCAGCAGGGAAAATTATGTAACCAATGTTTTATTCATAGGTGGCACTTGCCGTTTTCCAGAGTTGTGTGCTTGACTTCACATTTTATTAGTGCAGTATTTTAAGTGTAATTTCTCAGGTACTTACAAAGTAATGTGGAAAATATTCCACTCAACAGCACATTGACAGCCACTTTGTTCATTGGAGAATGAAAATTTTTAAAACCATATCACAGGCCTAAGCTGTTTGGAAAAAAAGGTAACTTACTGTAATAGTTAAGATCTTCAGAATGAATAAGTTGCTTTTAGGAAACATCACATAATTTCTCCTTGAAGGCCAGGTCACTTTGTTAGTTCCAGCCTCTTCTTCCCTTGGAGAGAGCTTGGTTTTGCAATCCTACCTTGATCCCAAGCCCACTTCCAGACTTGATTCCTTCCTATAATGCATTCCTTAAATTCCATAAACCAGACCCCTCTCTTCTACCTCCTCCTGCCTGTAATGGCTCCTTTTTTTTTTTTTCTTCTTTTTCCTAAATTCCATACTAAACCGGCCCAAAGAGCCAGCTGTTCCGTTCTCTTTTTCTTTCAGGCTTGCCCTGGTTGAACCCTTGAACCCAGGGTTCAAGCTCTCTTTTTAGAACATATTGTCTTGCATTCAAAGTTATTTATGGTTGATTCCATAAGCACAAAATTATCAGAACATAATAGTACTTGACTCATCCTTTCCACAGAAATATTTTAGAGTCATCTTCACGCTCTACTATAGAGGCTGGAATACTAACTGGATTGTTGGACCTGGTCACGGAGAACAGAAATGGAAGGAGAATATTATTTTCTAATGCCTCATCTTTACTGTTAGGTAAAATATCCCAAGCTGTAAAGAGCAGGTTCAGTTTCCCTTGCATAGTAATGGGTATACAAAAACGCACAAGCACACATTAAAATACACATTACATGTGTGCATGTATGTGCATTTTAATGTGTGTTTGTGGGTTTTTGGTCCCTAGGTCACTCAGCTCAGTTCTGTCGCTCTGTTGGTTCTTTAAATTTTTAGGACAGTATAAGGAGATGGGCAAATACGTGAGTGATATCAGAACATTTTAAGGCATCATTTTCCCTTTAGTTTGAAAAATGAAAATTAGCTGCTGGAAATGTTCTCTGTATGTCATTTGTAGCAAGATCTGTAATCTTTCAGAAATCCATGAGGATGTAAACTGATATTTTCGTTTTGCCATTCTGTGAATTGACATAGTTCTGCCATTGCCTGTTGCACTGCAGCAAGGATGTGAGGTGAAGGGCCAAAAAGCTTCAGTGAAAGTTGCCAAAGAAAAGTATCTTGGAGTTCTTTTGTCTTTTTAAAAAATCTGCTATATCTAAAATGTATTGATACCTTCACGATATTCCATGCATTCCCATCTGCATGTCCATGTGAGACTGTGATTTTCATGAACAAGTCCAGCAGTGTGTTTATTTTGAGTGCAGTCCTGA